GCTAGACAGGTCGTGCGGGAGAGCGAAGTCTGCGCAAGCGGCCCTCCCGCCGTTTTTCCTTGTCGCCTGCACATCCGAAAAGGCTTGCAAGAAACGGCGAAATCCAGCTTGAGGCTTTGCCTTTATGCCTCGGCAGGCGTTAACGGATGACCTGCCACAGGATGTTACTCATGTACGTGCCCGCGTATGAAAGTGCAAGCAAAGCGCGACCGTTTTCCTGACCTCACCTGTCACAACATGACCCTGGCGACCATTGGGCTTCTTGGTGGGGAGCCACAGAGAAAGGTCTCCGTTTCAAGCAGCTCCAAGTCGATCTTCTCCGGCAAGAATCACATGGCAATTCAAAACGCATGTGCAGAAACAGCGAATGTTTAAAGGCACAAACACTCACACAGTTGGGACGCATAATAAGACGAGGGCGCGCCACACTTGTTTGTGGAGCTGAAAGCAACGCTCCCCCCGCTGCCCACAAGTGGATGGCAAAGCTTTGCCAGCGAGGGACTCCCACAACGGCGCCGCTGTGGCAGCATCGCAGCACCCAAATTCGCCCAAGCAATGTCGGAGTCCTGAAGATCATCAGGACTACCTGCACAGCATCGTCTTGTGGCAACCAGTGTTTGCGTCTCATGCGAATTCGTCACATGGTTAATGCTGACTCCTGAGTAGAAAATGCCTGGTTGAGTAGGGGAGCTCCATGATTGAGGAGTGAGCATTTGCCTGCGGACACTTGCCACGAGGATGCAGGAGCCAATGACTGGCGCAAACTTGACATTGCCAGTGGACCTCTGCGGGAGGAGCGCAGCTCGCGTGGAATTCTGCCGCTCTGAACTCCAGCAGGAAACCGCGTGCCGTCGACGGAGTACTGAGAGGCCTTGGTCCTCCTTCGGCCACAATGCGGAGAGGAATGCCTGATAGCACATGCCCGCAATTTGCCCTCACAGCTTGCCATGCAGCTGCTCGCAACTTAGCCTAAAATACAACACACACGTCAGAGCATCGCAGCACAAGCCAAGGCGTCTACCAGGCGGCCGATGTCAGAGAGCCAAGCGTTGCTCAACCCTGCGCTGGTGTAAGCCGACAGTCCACAATGTATGCTCCACCCTCCAGTCAGGCTACAACATTTCGCGTCTCAGCTTGGCACGCTCCTCGATAGTTTTCTGCATCTCAGGATGCCCTACAAACTGCCCCAAACGCAGAATGCCTGGCCAGCTTGGCCTATTTGTTCAACGATTGCAAATCCTTCAAGAAACGGCTTGTGTTTGCGCTTGCGGAGAAGACCAATGTCTGCAGGTCTCGTTTCTTCAATGTTTTGAATGGCGAAAGGGTGGCTTCTTCCTGGACCCCCAGAATCTCGTTCAAGAGTGCTAGCGCCGAGGCGACCAAGGTTGTTTGTGGCAAAGCTTCGCTAGCTTTTTGTTGTTGGCTTGGCTATTCTTGGAACCATGAGACTGGTTGAATTGGTGCATTCGCCGTGGGTGGAAGTTGCCAGTTGGTCTAGTCTGGACGTGCCTTTGCTGCAACCTTGCAGACGTATTGACCCTCCAGAGCACACAAGACTTCCTGCTCATGTCCCAGCCGCAGAGCAACTCCTATCATCCCAAACCCAAAGTGAATGATTGACGCATTCCAAGATGAACAGAACAATACAGTGAAGCCTCTCTACCAAATGAAATCATAGAATCGTGGGAACATTCTCAGCAATTAATCACAAACACGCGAAAGACCGTGTGTGAGTGTGGGTATGACAAATGCATGACAAGACATCACTCGCATGGCTGAGACCATTGACTGCTGATAATACAAAGACTGAGGCACATCTTTGACACTGCAAGTACCACTCACAGCAGCACAACTTACACCAACAACGCTGACATGACTGGAATCATCAACACCGTCCAGGCTTAGCCTCATCAAATCCCACTACAGCTCTGACAAGTCGACTTAGCCAACGCCGGGCTAAGCGGACATGGTTCATCACTTGGAAAGCCATCAGTGTTCAGCGCCTCCACCTGAAGGCGGCATCACATCACTGACATCACCAGCATCATTCCAAACATCACCAACAGCATCGCTGACAGCGCCGGCATCACCAAGCATTCCCTGTATTCACCCCCATTCATCACAATAGTGAAACATCAACCTGCGACGTTTCTCTGCGCACAAGCAACAAACGCTCAATCCTTAAACATTGCCCACTGCTGGAACACCAGCTGCAAACTGCATGCTGACAGCGCTTGACAAGGATGCTTCGGTCGGAAGGTTCGACATGGGTTGGACGGCCAAGACGGATGAAAGGAGGGTCCACCTCTGCAAATTCACAAAGCCATCCAACCGCTCGCATCACCCCAAACCCTAAGTGAATCTTGTTGTGTTCCCCATTTGCCAAACATCCCTGCAAAAGCACAAACCCGCAAAATAATGACAATGTTATCACGTGACATTCTTCATATCACTGATGTCAGCAACATCATCCATGGCATCACTTGCAGCAAGATTCCACCAAACAGAAAGACAATATCGTAGCACAAGTATTGACATCATTGACAAACCGTATTTATCGACTAAACTGGTTGAACCAATTCGCAGTTGAACCATATTTCAGGAAGTCATTGGCAATACCGCTGCGACGCCTGCCAACTTGGGTCCTCTTCTTGCGCTTGGCTCAATCCTCCTGCTATTGGAAGTTGTTTGAGAATTGGCATTGTCTAACTGCAACAGCTGTAAATTGCGAACACGCCCAAATCTGGCGTTGTTTTGGCCTGCAGCCACTCCCATCACCCTAAACCCTAAGGGAACGCCTCAGACGAGCGCGCAGCACAATAAAGCAGCTGTTTTGTCGAACATCATCCAGCAAACATCGCTCAAACCAGACCTCCCACTTACTCACGGCATCACCTGATGCCAAAGACAAAAAGCAAAGTGCCACCAAAGAGTAGCACGAGTATCCAATTGACAACCGTATTTATCGACTAAACTGGTTGAACAAATTCGCATTGGCAACGCCTGCCAACTTGAGTCACGTAAACTCAGTTTTTTCCAGCTGTAAGACAACAAATCAAGGTTATCACCATTCTTTACATCACTGATGCTACTAACATCACCGATAGCATCCCTGGCATTGCTGTTTTGCCGAACATTGACAGCCGTATTTTTCGACTAAACTGATTGCACCAATTCGCAATCGAAAACTTAGTTCAGGACGTCACTTGCAATACCGCACGTGAGCTCTCCACTTGCTTGGCTGAACCCCAGCTGTTGGAAGTGTTTTGAGAAGTAGACCCGTTTTGCCGAACATCATCCAGGCATCGCTCAACCTGATGCCAAAGAGAAAAAGCAAAGTACCACTAAACAAAAGGACAAAATCGTAGCACGAGTATTGACACCGATTAAACTGGCTGAACCTATTCGCAATCAAACCATATTGTAGGAAATCATTTGCAACAACGCTGCCACCCCTGCCAATTTGAGTCAAGTGAACTCTTCTCGCGCCTGGCTCAACCCCAGTATTGGAAGTGTTTTGCGCCGTGGACATTGTCCAAGTGGAACCACGCCCAAATCTGGCATGTGGCCTTCCCAGCCACTTCCATCACCTCAAACCCTGAGGGAACGCCCAAGACGAGTGCGCAGCCCAATAAAGCAAAATTGCACAGCATCACCAGTATCACTGACATTCTTTACAGCACTGATGCCCATGACATCACCGATAGCATCCTTGGCATTGTTGTTTTGCCGAACATCGCTCAAACCAGACATCAACCTCACTCACCCATGGACAACCGTATTTATCGACTCAGCTGCAAATTGCGCAACGTTGACTTGATTTTTGAAAACTGCAAAAGGATGTGTGTTTCTAAGGAACCTTTCAAGGTACACACCCATATCTGGCGTTGTTGTTGCCTGCAAATTACCCTGGCTGGCTCCCATCTAAGGCAACGCCTCAACCGGCGCAGAGCACAAAGAAACAAAGTTGCATTGTATCACCATTCTTCACACCAACCTCACCCTCACCCATTGACAGCCGTGTTTATTGACTACATTGGTTGAACCAATTCGGAATCGAAACATCGTTTAGGAAGTCATTTGCGATACTGCTGCGACGCCTGCCAACTTGAGACATGTAAGCTCTTCTCGTGCTTGGCCCAACCCCTGCTATTGGAAGTTGTTTGAAACTTGGCATTGTCCAACTGCAACAGCTGTAAATTGCGCAACGTTGTCGACTTTGCTGTTGAAAACTAAAAAACCGGTGTTTCCAAATCTGGCGTTGTTGTGGCCTGCAAGTTACCACCCAGCCACTCCTATCACCCCAAACCCCAAGGGAACGCCTCAGACACGAGCGCGCAGCACAATAAAGCAACATTGCACAGCATCACCAGTATCACTGACATTCTTTACAGCACCGATGCCCGTGACATCACTGGTAGCATCCCTGGCATTGCTGTTTTGTCGAACATCCAGCAAACATCGCTCAAACCGGTGGTTTGGAGCCCGGTAGTTTGGGTGGTGGTTTCCCATTTACCCCCAAAAAAAAAGCTAGAGGTTCAAATCCAAATTCAAACTCACCAATGAGGGGTTGCCTGATTCTAGGCGGCCACAAAATATGTGGACAGGAAAGCCAAAAAAAGCTCCAAAGGGGAGAACTCCGCATCCTTGCAACGAGATTCATTCATGTGTTACTAATCAATTCAGATGTGAACCTGCTCGTTATTTTCCCGGAGCCAGCAAAAAACGCTGGATCATTTCATCGCTTAGGTTCCGAAAGCAGGTGAGTGGTTGATTTGTGCGCAGAAATGGGTCGGAGTGCACTTCTTGTCTTCCATCGGCGCGCTGAGTGGCCTCCCACTTCGATGGTGCCCCATGAAAGGGGGCACATTGGCCTGACTGGCTCAGAAAGAGGGTCCGCGGGCAAATGACGGCAGCCTTGGGTGTTCAACTAACTTAGGTGGGTTACAGCTCTGGTAAGGGGGGGCTATCCCCAGTTGCTCCAGTTAAATAACCATGGTTGCAACTTACTATGTTTGAACACCCAGGTGTCGATGCCACGATGGAAAATCTCATATACAGGCCGTAGACAGCATGGTCAGAGCATGGTCGACCATGCCAGACCTATGACACACCGAAAATGGTGCCCCTTGGGCATCCGCCTCCACCCATTGGGTGGATAACCAGGTGGCTCGTCTTGCTGGAGTTGGTACCCCTACCAACAGGGGAAACCAGCAAGGAAACACCGCAATGCTGGGCCCGAACAACATTAAATCAGTTTTTCTCCAATTCCTGGTTTGGAGCCCGGTGGCTTGGTGGTTAAGTACAGTTTCCCAATTGATTCCCCTCAAGAATCAGGAAATGGTTCAACTCTAAATCCAGTTCCCACCAATCCAAACCACCCTAGGGGATACCTGATTGAAGTCAGCCCCCCGGTGCATCGAACCAAAAAATTCGTCCAGCTGCCATCTCACGCTGCGGGAGGGGAAGCGGTGCAGTCGCTTTGACACGGACACATGGCCAGGCCGAAGACTAGCCGGGATCTGCCTGGACCCCAACATGTTTATGTTTTTTTTTCGTGCGACTCAACATAGACGGAGACCTAGCGACTGCCGGTTTTCCCTTGAGTCTCCCCTTTTTTAACCACCCCAGAACCGAGTGCCCGAAAACCGCGCACACTCATGTGTATAATATGCGAAAGGGATTGAAACAGTATTTCGGGAGAGAATAAACAATCCCACCAACAAGAAGAGACTGTTTAAACCCCCCAGTCCCAAGGGCAAAGTGGTGCCCTCGGCTGGCCGAACACGAACCAAAACAGGGTGCCAGTTGTAACAAGATAAAGAAGCCCAGCAAGGGCAGAGACAAGCGAAAGCAAGCACAAAGCAGCAAACCAGGCAGGCAAACAGAGCAGCGCAGCGAGCGAGCAAAGCAAACCACTCCAACCGAAACCCGACCCGCCTCCGGGGCCGAGACCGCCACCCCGGCAGCGACGGCTGCGGCACAGCGCAGCCGGCGCGTAGGGCGACGCGATCTTTTCCCGACGAAATGGCGAGCAACAGTCGACGAGCGTAGAAACTTGAGCCAAACGGCGCATTGGCCGTGGCGTGGAAACATGCTATGATAAAACTACATGCCCCCAAAAACACCCCCCTCGCCTGCACAAAGAGAAGGAGTGAATTTGGAAGGGCGCATTGGCCATGTTGAAGTTGAATAGCAACAAACAAGCAAAAAGACGATTAGACTACCAGGGTTCGCGACCCCATACCCGGGCACTCATTGGTGCCCGGATCCCGCCACCACCCCGAATTACGGGTATGGGGCGGATTCGCGCCGGTAGCCAAATCAACCAAGAAAAGACAACAAAAAAAACAGAAACAAAGATTCAACTCCAGAATGGCAGGCATCAAGCCAAATAACATTTGCGCTGCAACCACATTGAATCATCAGACTCAAGTGGATTTAATTGTGAATTATTAGATTGGGCGCTTTGGCCGAATGGTTGAAACGTGGTGCGTTGACCAGTCGTCATCGGCCTTAAAAGCACCGTCTAGGCGCGCGGTCATTTCAAGATGGCCGGCATGAGTAACACCGGCAGCAATCAGCGGTTCAGGTCCGAGTAGGACCCCGCCGGCAGCGGTGCGGCGCAAACGCGATCCTCACGTCAGCACCACAATGAGCTCCTTCACCAGCTGCATCAGCGGTTCGGGAGGATGCGAATCGCCAGCGGCCAAAGACGCCGGCGAGGATGACTGCCTTGCGGTAACGGGGCGTACCTGGCAGGACAATGTGACCGGCGCGATTAGCGCACAGTCACACGTGCAATTGAATTATTAGTCGGTGATTAGCCGATACCGCGGATTGACACCAGGAGCGTTGTCCTGTATGTGTTATCATGCAATGATTGAATTCGTGATGGAATCATCAAATATTGCGAGTGCGCTTTGGCACTTCTGGATGCGACGCAGCATTTGCGGCGACGTCCCTTCCCCTTTCCCTCGTTCCAATCCCCGGGTGGGGGATGAGAAGGCTCGGTTTCAGCCAACTCATCATCATCACCCCAGGTTGGGGTGTGAGGTGAATGAGGGTTCATGTACGCGCCGGGATTTTCCGGCGGAAACTGCGACCAACGCCAGGCCACATTTGCGGCATCATGCCAGCCATGGGCTGTTGCATGAAGCCCCCCATCGGGAATGTGGGGTACATGGGACTCGGATACGGAAAAGGAGCGGCTTGTGCGCCCTTGTATCCCGAGCCGCGTGCGTGCTGGTAGCCGCCCGTCGGCGTCCTCGACCGGGCGGATCCGCCACTACTGCTGGCCGTATAGGCCGCCTTTGCCCTTTTGCTGGTCACCTGTGTGACCCTTGAATTGGTCACCCTTGTGGCCTTTACTTGCATTCGGGTCCCCTTTGAAACCTTCGCCCTCGGGCCAGGAGCCCGCAGGGGCATTGCCCTTCCGAGTATCCCCCTTTCCTTTCTGATCCGGTCGCATCAAAGCGGAGCGGTGATCACCCCGAGGTGTCGCCGCCCGCCTGTGATGCTTCCCAGATGGAGGATCCGCAAACGTGATGGCGCCTTGGCCATCGCGCTGCCCCGCGGCAACCATGTACCTTGTTCTGGTCGGTGTAGATGTATGCTTCAGCATACTCAATTGGGCCGTTATCGTCCCACCACCGCCCCTCAATGCTCAACCTGAGGGTCTCGGTGATGTCAAAATCAGTGTCTTCGCTGGTGAAGTCCGCAAGGCGTCGCTCGGCTTGGACCACCGACATGATCACATCGTCCCGAGAGGAGACTCAGATCGGCATGGAAGGCGCAAAGGTGCCGTTCCTGAAGCTGCCACCCCAACAATGAGGGCGAGTTTTACGTCGATGAACGTACCGCATACATGGACAAGCGCCATGTTGTCGTGGCGATCGACCTGAAATGGTTGGCAATTGAGGGCGCCGCGGGCATATACAAAACCCGACGCGGTTTCATTGCCGTGCGTGAGGAGATTCACGCACCTTTCTGGCGTGCGTGTTACCTGCGCCAGGAAGGGGATGTAATACACATCCGACCATGGGCAATCCGGGCTTTGGTTGTCCCGGGTCCGCCGCGACGGGTGTCATTCGCATGGGACAATGCTCCCATGCATGACTATTGGTGCCCTCGTTGTGCACATTTGAACATGTACGGCACCATTCTATGCAATGGTTGCCATTTGCCCATTTTCTCAGTCCCAGATCAGGCGGACAGTCAAAGTGGTTGGACGGACTCAAAGCAGTCATGCCCAACAGCTGGTACTACGCGGAAACGTGCAGCTGGGCCCCCCTGATGGCGTGAGGTGGTCAGTTGCATGATCTCTGGCCTGCGCTGTGCGCCATACCTCGTACCCAATCCCAATGCGGATATCGTACAGGTTGCATTCCATGAGGTTGAGAAAGTCACCAACATGGACACTCACTCATATGTGAGAACGAGTGATGAGGCGCTTGAAACATGGGTGGCAAAGCAACTGCTCATCGAGGAGAGCGAAACTGGAAACCCAGTTCCTGATGGCTTGACAGTGCTGGCGTATTTAATCGACCGCCCGCAACACGCGGCACAGTGGGGACGCCACATGACAAGGAAAGGCAGTCTACAATCAGCATTTGCCTTTTATCTTTCTGTATATATTTACGACGCATACCGCATTGGTGTTGAGGACGGTTTCCTCGTCCCGCTGTACGGCCTTGCCGGGACGTCGGATGCACCTCGTTTTGAAGGCAGATCTATACTCCTGCATAGAAAGCAGCACATATCCCGTATAAGGGACCTCTGCTGCATCCATTGGCCTCAGCAAGGGCCCGATCGGAGTACGATCGCGCAATGCCCAGCGCTTGAAAACCTTATATGGCACGTCCCTCCCGATTAGGGTGGAACGCGCAAAGATCACTTCGCTTGTGGCCTCTGTTGGGTCGTCTTCCCCCCAGACTCTCCGTATTAGGAGCTCCACCGGCGGGTAGGCGGGGTGCTCCCGTGCGAGAGCACCCGCCCATTTTGCCACGCCTGTGCACTTGACGATCCCGTGTAGGGCCTCGAAAAGCATGGAGATCAGGGGCATTGACATCCAACCTCCAAGTATGTCGGGAAAGTCATCACCAGGCTTGACACTTACCATCTTTGGGTCCGTGGAGCCTGACAAAACCTCGAGAAGCATATACGCCTCTCTGGAGCATTGTCCGGCGACCGTTGCTGGGTCGGTGATCTCGGGGAAAAATTCGAAGATAGCATCCCCGGCAGGACAGGCGATTCTGCCAAACGTCCTGGTCGAACAGGACCTCCTCACCTTCATAAGCAAAATTGTAGGTGCTCGCAATCGGACACACGGCAGGTTTTACCATTGCCGCATCCTCAAGCGATGCACCAACCGGGAGAAGACCGGACTCATGCGCTGTGGCATCACTCGGAGCATTCCCCTCAGACATTCGCCGATAGTTTTCGGCACGGAAGAGAGGAAACAAATGTTTCAGCCTATCAATTTCTTCTTCCGTCGTACGCCAGGCCTTCGCCTCATAGTCTAGGCGGCTCCTGCTTTGAGGGAATCAGATCTCTACTCTCCATTTCGGAGAACTTGGCAACAAATGCCCTATGCCATCGTCCTCGACGTGACTTTCACAGTCTTCGTCCGAGATGTACTCCCTGGGCGGCTCGCCCAGTTCGTTTAGGTCGACCTCGTCAAGGTCAACCAGAGCGTCTGGATCCCCGTGAGCTCATTTCTGAATTGCTCATAATCCCGTGGTGCGGTAGTCACTGAGGACGGCATAGCGTCTTCCCAGGACTCGGGAAACATGCACACGTTGGTAGGGGAATATTCGTCATCGGAAATATCCCGATCACGATCCCGCACGTCGCTAATCAGCGTCGCATCCAAGAAGCCGCATTGGGCCCCCGGTTGCGACGCCTTCGCGGGAGATGGCGCTGCGCCCTTTGACGCCTTGGCCGCCTCTTTGGGCGCCTTATTCTTCTTGCCATCACCCCTACTCCCCTCATTGTCCACGTCCATCGCAGACGACTGTCCGCTCCCACTTGCCCCGCCCATTGGCGGCTCCGGAGTCTTAATGGGAGACTCTTTCGTACGGGCCTTGCCTGCGTACGATCCTGACACCAGCCTCCCTTGGACGCTTGGCGGTGTGAGCTGAGCCAGTATGCACTGCAGGCGCCGACCGCCTAGGGTGGCTCTTGCTAGCTACAACACTCTGAGGAGGTGGTTTCACCTTGGGAGCCGGCTCTGCTTTGGGTGCCGGTTCCGGCCCCATGACGCAAGCCCTGAGGTCAAAGCGCAAGACCTGCGCAATAGGAACGGAAAACGTCCTCGACCTCACGGGCCAAGAACTCAGGACGATCCTCTGCTTTGAGAGGAGTCCTCCACGCATCGTAACCAGCGAGCAGGTTCTTGCCTACGCTGTCATTAAAACGATACAAGCCCAACCCCGAATAGCGGTTGGCCGCTCGAAGCACGTTGCAAAACCTTTCAACCTTTTCGGTTGCCGCGACGGCCGCAGCCATCTGAGGGTGAATGTACC